CTATATAATGATGGAACTGCAAACCTTGAGTGTGAAGACGGTTGGAAAAAGCCCTGACCACACGATAGAAGATGTATGGTGCCACTGCCAGACTAAAAGGTAGAGCACAGAACTGAAACACTCAACTCACGTGAATGAACTGAAGGTAACGTATGTATGCAGGAGAGATGTCAACCATGGTTATCGAAAAACCTGGAGTGAATGACCAATGAAGGGTGAGGAAAGACTCCATAACGAATTGCAGAAGGAGGATTAAGTGGTTGACATTGGAGAAATCAATGTCAGGATACCAATTTCCAGTTTTCTTGGAAACCACGAACAATCAGAAATAAAACTATAGAGAAGCGTGAAATAGCTTCACTGTGTAAAAACATTGTGAACTGCCTCCAAGAAATGCTGGCAAGAAATGGGATCCCGAGGAGGGTGGAAGGAAATGAATTGTGAAGATAAAGGAGAGGAAGAAAATTGAAGAAACAGTTTATATGTTAGAACATGGAGAAACCAGAGGTCTACAGCGAATAGGCACTACAAGTGAACAATTCTGGTTAACCATGCCTCACACTGCCAGAACCCACAGGAGATTCATCAACAAAACTGGCATTTGAAAAACACAATGAAGAGCAATTTGGCAACACACTGCAGAAACCAAAAAAATTGGCAATAGCAGTGAATAGGATGGAGGGTGGCAAGGCATAAAAAAGAGGAAAGACAGTAGTCTCACATAGAACACAATTAGATGCACGCAAGACATGAGATCATCCCTGCCAAGGAGGTCCCAACAAGAAAGGAGTCATGTATGAAGGGATAAGGCTGAGGAAGATAAGTGCACCAACATGGAAAAGAGAATGGTATGTTATGTGCTTCTGCCAAAAAATGCTCAGGGGAAAGAAAGTGGATGGAAGAGATATAACAGGTAACATAAATAGGAAATCATGTCTAAAAAATCCAAAAGAAGATGAGTGAAATCTAGAGGGGTAGCACAACAAAGGCTGTCCAAATCCTTCTAATGAGGACCAGATTCCCCCAGAAACAGGAGATCTAGTTAGGGTTCTGGAGACACAACTAACTGCAAAATAGTTAAAAAAACAACTCACGACACATCAGGGTCTAAACCTTCACAAAAAGTATGGAGCCCGAGGCTACAGAAGTACATGTAGCAAGTACTGGTGGTAAATCAGTAGTGGCCACATTCATAATAGAAGGTATTGTAGTATTATGATGTGAAAATTAAAAATATTCCACATACGAGGCCTGTGAGAAAAGTATCCGACCTTTGGCCGGGGAATAAAAACTGGCATACCTGGAGCGTTGGAAACCTAATCACCCTCAAAGTAGTCTCCTTGGGACTCCACACACTTCTCCCAGTGGTGCTGCCACTGTTGGAAGCATTCCGAGAAAGCCTCTTTCGAAATGGAGTTTAGCTCGGCTGTCGTTGCAGCCATAATGTCCTCTCTTGTCTGAAATCACGACGTAGGCGACGGAGGACATCCCTGTAGTACT